CGAAGACCCTGAAAACCACCTGTTTAGGCAGGCTGCATCCTGAAGTGGTGATGAAAAATACGACTGTTGTTAACCTTCTCTCCTTGGGCGGCTATGGGCGGCAAGGAACCTCTCCCCTCTCACCTGGCTATGGCCAACTGGGCAGTGCCAGGCGCTAAGCTCTTCTCCCCTGGTGCTCCTTCTTCGTCCAGGTCGCTTGATCGCACAAGCTCCTTAGCGCTTCCACAATTTTGCAAAATGAACAATTGAATGCCTTCTGGCACTGTAGCCCAAAATATATAGTTGCAGTGGGCTATTCATGCCTGCTTCAATCGGTACCAGCCTCCTGCGGTCTCTACCTTTGCCAAATTGCCACTTCGGGAAAGTTCCTTTTGACTTTCGTTGGGAGGCTGCTGCAAAATTGAACTTTGGGGACTTGACATGCTTGCAGGTACTGTAGCTACCTACCTACGACATCATCCTATAGACCCTAGGACCTACCCTGCCGGTACTGTGGCCTACTGGAATAACTAGGACCGAGACCTTCGAGGATGGACTGTGTGAAATCCGTTTCACGAGGTATTACTAAATGAGAATAAATCTTCCGCTACAACATGGAAAGATGCACCACCATAATATATGTCTGGAGGTGTATCCCTTTTAGTCCGTAAGGCGACTAAGGCCAGGCGTTGGTCGCTTATGGGCTAACATGAGTCATTTGTAAACAGTGGAGGCTTATTCCAGCCTCCATAAGCTCGCTTCCTTCTCTCGGGAGGCCTTTTGCAGCTATTGCCCCTTCCTTGCTAAGGTCAGGAAGTCACATTGAGGATAAATATGGAAGGGGAAGTAGCTGCAAAAAGAGTTGTAGCAAGAGCCTAGGGTGGCCCAAAGCTTGACCCAAAGCCAAGGAAACTCTGAATACTTGCAACTGAGCATCGCGCAGACAGACTTTGAGTGCTAAGATCCAAAGTCAAAATGGAAACAGCCCAGATCGTACGCTAAGGTCCTAAAGGAATCACTAGTTGGAAAGGAACTGATTGAGCAATTACAAACAGGACGTGGGCTTGGAAGCATCCATCCTTTGAAGAAAGTGTAATAGGTCACTGGTCTAGCTTCATCGCGCCGAAAATGGGTCGGGGCTCAAGTGGTTCACCGAAGCGACAAGACCAATCAAAATTAATGTTGCAAACGCCTCTCTAGGCAGGCATCAAGACATGCTGGATACGAAGTGCTAGCTATTGTTTGCAAATTTATCTTCGGGGTCACTAGCGGAACGTTCTGTAAGTTGAAGAAGGCTGCTTGTGAAAAACAGTTGGGGATATCAGATGTGAGAACGCTGACATGAGTAACGAAAAAGCAGGTGGAAAATATGATCGCCGAAAGTTCACAACTAACTCTGTAGAGTCTATACCTAGAAAAGGAAAGGTCATTTGATTCATGTCTATAGTGACAATACACAAGAAGCGTGACCTAATGAGGAAGGTGTAGAGATGCCAGGGGAGGAAGACACCAACGATACTCCGGAGGCAGGAGTCATCGCCGCAGTAAAAGACAGACAATCATCTCCGCAGAGTCAAGGGAAACGTCGGGATCAACCATCTTCATCAACATTGATGAAGAGACCACGGGAGATCCACAACCTGTCAAAGGAGCTTTGGAGAGACAGAATGCAGAGCGGACAGTGCATATAGTGTGGCAAAGGGCCTCGCTCCACCGCACAACAAAAAAATACTATGGCGAGCATCTCTCCATGTTCTCATTTTGAACACTTGGTGAGCGGTGCAGCCAGGCCCAAAGTAGACTGTCTCGAGTTATATCCCCAGGGAAACAAGTAGAGCCAAGGGAGGGCCCCGTTCCTACTACAGGATCGGGTAAGGTAGTAGTACCAGGCGGTCCCATAAAGTCCCGGCTGATCCTATATGTACCTCCCCTGGGAGGTCTGCAAACCGAAAACCGAAATGTGACAAGATGACCCATAGCCGCATACAGTAGAAAAAAACAGCAGCAGCCCAAAAATTATGACCACTGCCTCATCTTTTATGACGTCGGGTGCATGCCAGGCACAGATCTTATTGCTCTTGACAGGGCAGAAAGAAAATGTGACACGACAAATCTCTTCACTGTTTATGCCCACATGCAAGCGCAAAAGAAAATGCGATGATCCGCACGAATGCCTTCCATTTCTGTGCCCATACACTCGTGTTTCTTGCTTTCAGACTAGCGCACAAAAGAAAACACATCGGGAATCTAAGCTGCCAATCGGATAATTTTACCTTTTTCCTCGACAATTTTGATGTCTCCTCCGCGCATGACACAAACGCAACGCATAGATCACTTTGCAATCAGACTCGCCGTTTCTTCCTCTTTGCACACATGTAAACAGATGGTGGATCACACTGGCACACAGTGCCCACTCAAAGCTCAAAGATATGGAGATCGAGAACACAGTTCAGATACAAACTCGCTTCAACAGGTTATGGCGCGTCAGCACCTGTACATCCCAACTCTCGGCACTCTATCCAACACCACTGTTCGCACTCATTCAACTCTGGATCACCCTAGATATCCCACATGCGTACGCACACTCTCGTCCTCATACACTTGCCTATCAGCTATGGCGGCTATGGCCGCTGTCCCTCTGTGGCTATGGCTAACTATCTCCTTCAGCCCACTTCGTCTTCGGGCACTCTGCAGACCACCTCGCACAAGTCGCTCAGGCAGCGCTTCCGCATGGCTTACGCAGGAATGAATGAATAGCTGGGCGCTGCCTCTTGATTTATACTTCTGTTCGCTGCTAGTCTGCCCTTTCCCACCGGGCCCCTGGTGCACACAGTCCCACATGGTACTTGCTGACTGGACTAAGTGAGACTGGAATTGGGTACCGCTGACTCAGCATGGGACTCACCACTTGCCCACTTGCCTCTAGTCTGCTGTGACCAATGTTTGAAGGGCCACTTCCGGACCTTCCGGAAGTCTGTGGACTTGGCCCTTCAATACTGTAGCAGCTACGACCTTGACCTTTCAGGATTGTAGCAGCTACGACCTTGGCCTTTCAGGACTGTAGCAGCTACGACCTTGACCTTTCAGAACCACTACAGCTACGACCTCTGCTACAAACTTGACCCCTATGCGACAGACCTACGGTTCAAGACCCGACGGACACACTGGCCCACGACAGACAACAACTGACTCTAAGACACGGGTTACGGGTTCAAACACACGGGGGTACTGTACACAGGGGAGCGAGGTCTAGGGATCGAGCCCTGGGATCTGCATCCGCTACTGCAAAGGTGAAAACCGTTTCAACTTTTGCCTGAGGAGCTACCATCTTCACCCCAGTAGAACGCCCAGTCATTATAGCTCTATTTACTACTTAGTATTTAGGCAGAAATTGCCCCCAAATACAGCTATAATGATGACCGGGCGTTATGTTCGGGTGAAGATAGTAGCACAAGAACGCGCAATGGAAGACGCAGCAAACCAGAGACAAATTATCATGGCAGGAGCCCCATCATGCGATCAACCGATTGCATGACCCACAGCTGGCCACGACAGGGTTTTTCTCTTTTGCGGCGCGCTTTGGAAGACCCCATCTGCACAAAAAAAAAAAGAAAAAAAAAAAGAAGGTATTGTAGCCTTGTAGGTTGACATTCAAATTCACTGAGGGGCTTTCAAAATGGAGAGGATTCCAATCCCTTCCACCCCCCGACCCCCCCCGATCAGCTGTCGTTACAAAAATATGGCTTTCTACCTAGGGTTCATTTCCATGCCCGCGGGTGCGCCCCCTGCGTGCACGGATCCTTGCACGGCCGCAAGGCCGTGTGGGTCCCACGTACGGGCCCCGTGCGGCCCCAGCGTGGTGTGCATGGGGGGCAATTTTGGGTCCGCCATATCAAACCTCCATCCCGCCGTCTCCCACCTACCTCCCGCCACCTCCTACTTCCTCTCCTGCCATTTACTACCTCCATCCCGCCATCTCCCACCTACTTCCCGCTACCTCCCAGTTCCCCTCCCGTCATCTCCCACGTCCCTCCCACCATCCTCCGCCTCCCTCCCACCACTTTGGTCCTCTTCTTCCGCCATCTTCTTCCTCCCTCCTGGCGTCCTCTGCCCCCTCTCGCCATCTCCTACCTCTTCTCCCGCCCACGTCCACCTCCTTCCCGCCACCTCCTACCTCTCCTCCCGCCATCTGACGCTACCTCCCACTTCCCCTCCCGCCACCCTCCACTTCCCCTCCCGCCATCTACCACGCCCCTCCCACCATCCTCCGCCTCCCTCCCACCACTTTGGTCTTCTTCTTCCGCCACCTTCTTCCTCCCTCCTGCGATCTTCTTCCTCCCTCCTGCGAACTTCTTGCTCCCTCCCACCATCTCCCACCTCTTCTCCCGCCGTCCTCCGCCTCCTTTCTGCCACTGGCAACCTCCAAGTAGCAGTGTGGCAAACATGTGTGGAGAAGACAGATTCAGGCACTTCTCTGCATGCGCAGCAGCCCCCATCACCACTTTTTTTTTTTTTTAATACCTCGCACGGGTGCACGGCCGTGCCGGCCCGGCCCGGCCCGGCCCGGCCGGGCGGCTCAGGGCGCCTAGCTTTCTACTCCAATATCATCGCTTCTGATACCTTTCTCGGCCTTTTGGCTAAGGAAGATCAAGTGCAGTATCTGTTCTGATCAGTTTAACATCTGATTCGTGGTCCATCGGACCACACGATATTAATTTTTTTTTTCTGGGCCACGGAGGGGTCATACGGGTAAAAGCTTGCTAACTCGACCTCTCCAGTGTTGCCTCTGTATTGCACTGCAGCAGAGCGTCGCGCAGCCCTTAAAAAAAAAAAAAAAAAAAAAAAAAAAATCATAGATCACTGCTTATCGGATTGGGCGAAGGCTCAGGAGACAGTGGCATTGATAGATATTAGATAGTGCCTAAGTGAAGCATGCATGATGGGAAGAAGGGGGAATGTAAACCATATGCGTAGAGTACTCGCAGAAGTTTCGAAGAAAGGAGAGTGAAAATCATACGTACTCGTAGCCGAAGTTTGACGGTGTCATTCTGGCCATTCACATCCTCTGCCCTTACTGTTCAAGCCACACACACACACACACACACACACACACACACACACACAGAGGCGCGTGTGTGCATGCATGTACACAGAAACATACATTCAGAGGTCAGGACTCAGAAGTGTTACAAGCACAGGGGATTCCGAGTCAGAAGATCCATCCATTAAAAAACGGCAGTTAGAAGACCAACATCATCCACCTTTCTTGTCTGCTTGCAAAAATTCGCAACGCTCAATTCTTTGAATTGGACAAGTGGACCCGCCGCAGCTACGCTGCGGCAGAGGAGAGGGACGAACAGGGGGACGGGACTGTTGTTGTTACACCGCAGGCTTTTTTTATTAATATTTTTTTTTTGTCGTTGCTGTACACTGACGAATAACATGACTGCGGTAGACTGTTTCCTCTCTCTCTCTCTCTCTCTCTCTCTCTCTCTCTCTCTCTCTCTCTCTCTCTCTCTCTCTCTCTCTC